AAGCAAATAACGGGTCAATAGTTAAGATTAAATATAAAATAATTATAAGTAAAAATGCATGTATTTATTGCAGAGATATTTAAAAACATACAAGGGCCCAAATCAAGCCTCATAATATGATAAAAGTGACATGCACAAAAGGAAACACTTATGATGTAACGTGTTTCAGTTCGATAGGGCCTTCCTCAGAGGTCAAACACTATAAGGTACATATAGGTTCCTGTTACAATGAAAAGGACGTAAACAAGTTGATATAGAACCAAAAAAGGAATTTTCCAATATGAAATCTAATGACACAAGAAAAATATTATTTGTGAGGCCTCCTTGAAACTAGCCTTGTGTCAATTACAGATGCATACTAGCTGAGTAGTTACTGTGTGTTTATGCCTTCCAATTTGGTCCAGAAAGTACAGGTGAAAACACCTAATCAGAGCCAATGTGCCTTCAGTATAGAGCAGTCAATACTGATGTTTTAGTGACCTATTTTCAAGATGGTTTTATGCTGTTTTGGTATTGATAATAGTTTTATAACTGGTACAATTGGAAAAGTTTTATTGTTGGAGATATTCGTTTTTGGGGGGTTGTTTTTATTGGATTCCACTCGGTTGGAATTTCGGTTCTTGTGATGCCTTGAGCAGGTCTTTGAAGAGGTGGCATAAAAATTCATAAACAAACTCTAAATATATGACTGCTTACTAGAAATAAAGAATTGGTGGTCTCCTAGAACATGCCCCAAGATCACCTGCAACATTCTTGAGTTCCTGCAACTAAGACAGAGATCTCTCAGCAGATGAAAAAATTATTCAGTTATGGCAGAGACTCTGAAAATCACTATCCTATAGGGATTAGGATTGCTAACCTCCAGGTTGGACTTGGAGCAATGTTCCCTCTATGCCATGTTGTCTTGTGAGCAGAAATTTTACCTTGTGAGCCGAAACATCTACTAGCCTAAAAGATGTGAGTGGGCCTACATTTTTTAATATATATATTCTTAACTAGGAGGGAAGCCCGGTAGGGAAAAGACAACAAGCGCTAGAAAGACAGCCCCCCCCCCATCCTGCACTTTCTCCCCCCTCCGCAGACCCCCGGGGTCGGTGGGTGGCAACTGGCTTCCTGGGCGGCCACGGCTAGGGGCCTCTGGACCGCCTCGATGGCCATGTGCCCCAGTGGCATGCCAGCCCCCTTTCCATGTGCAGGCTGTCTGCCGGCAAGCCTCGGCGGGCTAGTACGGGCGCGGTGGCAGCAGGCCCGGGCTCGTCCCGACAAACCTGCAGCTGGTCAAGGGGTTGGGTTGCCCGTCACATCGGATCAAAGTGAGGCCCTTCCACCTGCTTCCCCCCTCCCCAGACCCTGGGGCCATGCTGCATCCAGCAGCCTCCAGGCCGCCTCTTCGTCCCAGCAGTGTGCCAGCCCCTGTCCGCTCACAAGCTGGGGGTGATGATGACTGGCATGGGGGTGGGAGGAAGGGGCTCAGGCAAGCATCCAGCTGCCAGACCGCGCATTCCATCTGGCGGCTCCGTGCATACTGAGGTCAAGCTGGTGGCCGGGGCTTGTGTGGGCGGGACCCCGCAACGCAGCCAGCCAACGCAGGCAGTGCCTTTGGAATGGCAGTTCAGGTGGCCAACTGATTTTGGCATGCATAGAACTTTACCACCCCAAATTGTTTTTATTAATAAGGAGAGATTTCTGTTTACAAACACACAAAACATACAAACATGAAATATAAACCACTATTTGTATTGCAAATCTTATATGGAACTTATCACTGATATCTTTAGCTGACACCACCCTGTTAAAACATGCATATTCCTACCATTATTTCATTTAGTAACTCATCATTCTATTATCCAATTTGTTCTGTCTTCAGAATGGGAACACCACCCCTCTAAGTATGCTGACAATATTTATTTAACTTGCATTAAACATTGGAAAAATTTTAACCAGGCTTTGCCCAATTTAATTACAAGCTGAACATTACCGTAGAATCTTCTGTATTATTCACACTATGTGTAAACTGTATGTGGCATCCCCATATCTGACACATTGGCTCAGGTAGCACAGACCTTCCTGTAGAATTTTTGAAACACAAGCTCCAAGCCCTTCCACAAAAAAATGCATCTCACTGAGAAATCTAGCAAACATCTTTGCTTTCTAGAAATAGTAATAGGGCCACAGCACCACCCAAAAATTGGAAAATATCATAAAAAGATCTATGGCATAGCAATTCTGAATACATTCTGTACCTAAGAAAAAAGCAAACATGTCTTGACAGAACATATTTGCTATTATCCTTGCACAGGGACCACGCTAAATATCAAGCCGTCTGTCAATAATCTGATTCAACGTTTCTTTCTTTCTTTCTTTCTTTCTTTCTTTCTTTCTTTCTTTCTTTCTTTCTTTCTTTCTCTCTCTCTCTCCCTCCCTCCCTCCCTC